TATATATATATATATATATGTGTGTGTGTGTATATAAATCATCACTTGCTGTTACTCCATTTGAATGTCAGAATTATGCACTTTTTCTCCTGTTATGCAGCTGGTTGCTATATACAGTTTTTGTTTGTTTGTTTTTTCCCTGTTGGTTGTGACTGTTATATACATAACACAACAAGATGTATCGATTAAGAACAGTTTAAACCGAATTTAGTTTAATTGTTTCGGTCTCAACAAAATTTTGTTCGGTTTGGGTTTTAGGATTTTTAATTTCGAATACAATCGACTTGATTAATTTGCAAACTGATCGATCCAAACCAAATGAATACACAGGCCTAGTTGTATGTATATAATCTTCTTTCATATATTCTATTATTATTCTATATGTAAGATTTTTGAAATGTATATAATCATCAGAATGAATAAAATCAAAAAGAAAATTCTGGAAACTAGTAGCAGTTTAAACCGATGTTATATTTGTAGGGGTTAAAACTGCTGTTATAGTCATCGCTACTAAAAACCTTCCCCGAAGGTTTTAAAACTGCTGCAAAAAGCCTATGAAGCACTCACAATTACAGCGGCATAAAAACAGCCACAATGAAAATTGAGAGGTTTTATCACTATGATAACCTACATAAGTGTTGTGAAATTTCTTTTTTTTTTAATAGCGAATACAAAGTCAATAACTTCAGTCAAACAAAAGGTGGTCGATTTTACATACCCTAAACCCTAAACTATGAAAAAAAAATCATGTAAGAACTTAATGTGCAATTTAGTGAAAAGAGATACGTGGTTAGAGATGATGGATTCTATGAAGTTCCATTGCCCAAATTGATGGAAGGAAAGAAAGATAAGTGTGTACACAACTTGGAGAGATTCGCTCATATAATCTGGATCTAGATAAGCATTCAATTGACTCTCTAACTCAAAAAAGAAATTTCATTCACCAAGTAATCAACAACACTAACAACAAAGCCTTAATCCCACTACGTGGGGTTGGCTACCTGAATCCTTTTTCTCCATTGCGTCCTTTTTAGTGTCGTAATTTCATTTAGTTCTAATAAATTAAGATCATTTTTTATACAATAAGCCCAAGTCTTCCTAGGTCTACCTCCTCTTTCTTAACATAAGTCGAATCTAAAACATCTACTCTTCTAATAGGATCATCTAATGGTTCTTCTAATCGGATCATCAGATGGTCGACGTTTAATGTGACCAAACCATCTAATAAATTAAGATCATTCACCAAATAATCCATTGCCAAAAATACAAGCAATAAACTCATCAACTCCTATAAATAGCAATAGGTTTACAAGATTAAGACCAAATAATTCAAATCTAACTCTATCCAAAAAAACAAATTCAAACCTAATATTAGCCAAAATATGAAACAAATAAAATAAATCACATTAAAATAAAAGGCATTAAATAATAAATAAATATGGGCCCATGATGATTTAAAACCTGTCCAGTAAAACTTCTTAGCCTAATTAGGCTCATTTGATTGCCCTATAAAAATTTTATCTTCTCTAAGCAATATTAGTTGATGCAAGGTGCTCGTTGGAAGAGTGCCAAAAATGGTCATTGAAGTGATAGATGTATGAAGGAGCGCAGGTTAAGGAAATCACTCCGTAAAGAGGTGATTAGAATAATGATTATGATTCATTATGCAAACAAGGATAAGAGGGGGAAAAGATACAAATTGTGATCAGGTTTTATGGTTACATAAAATGTATATGCATACCAAAAATGTGGTATTTCAAGTCCTAGGTATAAATCCTTAAGGACTATTTCAATGTAATTTTCTCAAAAACAGCGTATTAAAGTATGCATGCGTAAGTTATGAAAACTAAACTTTCATAAATATGAACTAAATGCAATCAATACAATCAATGAGATAAAGGCCAATCAATACACGCAAAATATTTACAAACTAAGAACTTCATATTACTTGGCCACAATTTTAGCAAGCAAAATCATTGCAAGTAGTACAGCAATAACATATAAAATTGCTAAATCGTCTCCCAAAGTATCCATCAAAATGATAAGATGCTATGAATTATTATTTAATTCCAAATGACAATTAAAAAACTTTGCAAAGAGCAAGTCCTTGCAATAAAAACAGAAATATCAAATAATAATCATAATGTACAAAAAGAATCTACTCAAGGGCCATGTAATAGTACAGGGCCCTTGAAGCAGGTATTGCTTATTCTAAGCATAAGAAATTAGACCCACCTTCTTCTTAGCAGCCTGAAATAAGGACCTCACGCGTCGAGCACCAACACCAACAAACCTATTACAAAAAAACAAACAAAAATGGATGGCAGAAAATAAATGATCAAATTAATTAAAAGATGGCCATCACACAAAAATAAGCTTAAAACATTTTGAAGCGTCATCGCTAAAGTTAAAAGGTTCATGTAAATTTTGATGTCAGAATTGTTTGAGAAATCTCAACTGTGAAAGTAAACCATCATTTTATTGAAACTCACAAAGTTAAGGGTCAAGAAAGAACAAAATAACTTTCTAAAATCATTCATTAGTAACATAAATTTGCATTGATATCCACTGCCTCCCTCAAACGATTTGAGGTTGTTAGAAATGCAGTAACCATGGCATAAGTGGGCAGAAAATACAGATATAATATCCTTTATGAATAGGATACTTCACTAAAATCACCCACTTAAATCTATCAGGTGTGTGCAACATCACCCTATATTAATCAATTAACACAAGTGCCAAGATAAGATATAGGATATGATATCTTTCCCAAATTACTTGTGTTTCTTCAATATCTTCTTTTCATTTTAATCAAATATTTTCTGCAAGTTTTGTTACTTTATATCTATTAAAAGTTAAATGTTCTTGCATTTTATTTTACTAGAAATATTGTGCAGCATGAAGCAAGAAATTTCAGATTTTAGTTAGTTGAACATTAAATTCTTACAGCTGAAGCTGCTAGCTTACATTTCTTCAAATTCAGATCCTGCTCGATAAAAGAATGGTACCCCAGCCTCTCCTGCAATAGCCTGATCCAGAAGGGTTTTCAATGCGATGACAAAAAATGTAAACTATTGTCAATTAAAAAAAAGCAAAAAATAAACATAATTCAATAAAGAGGCTGACTGGTAACCAAAAAAAAAAAACCTTTTGCACGCCTTTTGCACGTGCCCTTTGTTAATGACTAGAAAAAAAAAATTAACGGGTCGCATTTGCAGCTTAGAAAATAAGAAAAGCGCAACTTGGAAGATTCCACACTTTTTTGCATTCCCTGATGCGAGGTAACCTAAGCGCCAAACCATGCAAATTTTCAAAAGAGACCACCATCCCCTATAAACACATCTACAAGCATAAATATCAAGAAAGCTAGCATTAGCTAAGCTAGAAACATCAGAAAATTAAACCATCACGATCCCTTTACCAAATTATGCTTTTCAATAAAGAGGTTAACGAGAAATAGCCGATGATTATAGATGTACCGAAGCATCTAATTGCTTAGCTTACCTTGGCAAGTAAAGTCTTCCCAGTACCAGGAGCACCGGTCAAAAGAATTCCCTGTAGAATACTCTAGTCAGGAAGACAAATTTGCATCAAAGTTCCAACATTTATGTGCGCAAGACAAAGGAGAGATATAATCATAACATAAAAATAGTAATGAGAAAAGTAGTGCAGCAGTATGATTATATTATAGCATAGACCTCTGTTTATTAACATCTAATTAAATATTGTTTCAAATACCAAACAAAAACCATTGAATTGTATTAAACAATTTAAAGAGGACGAGAAGCTTTTAAGTTGAATTGTATTAAACAAAAATCATTGAATTTTATTAAACAACTTACTTTCCAACATGATTTATAACGCAAGTACCGATGACTGTCATAGAAAAACATTCAAGCCAGTAATATCAGTCTCAACAACCTCAATATGCAAGCAACAACCTTGAAATTCTTAGCAACATCACATGTTCCAATAATGTAACCTCAACTTATATATGTTCTCTAAAATGCCTATCAAATTGATGTGCATGGAACTAGATCATACATTTTTATTAAACCAACTGAAAACCCATAAAAATTTTCTTTTTAATTATTATTCTATCACTCCTTGTGGCCATTTTAAACAAAAAAAGGTGCTCAATCCCTGATCTTCATTTTACAAATTAGAAGTGTTTTTCTAATATGGTTATCCTTAACCTTCGTTCAATCAGAATACATGCTCCTGTTACTAATAAACTCGATTTCCTGATAATTACTGCAATTTGAACAACATTCTTTTCTAATAAATTGCTATTAAATTATTTCTTTAAGAGTCATTTGAAAAACCAATGATATCCGCGTAACTCTACAAATCTCAATAATAACTACTATGACCTTAGAGCTTCAACTTCTACACACCTTTAACAGCCTATTTAACTATAACTTTTTTCAGAATATAATATATAACCATCCGTTTGCTCTTCTTCATACAACCTGTTAAGAGCTCTTTACCCAAATTTGCCAGTTTTGCCAAATCTAGTGAAAACTTCGGCAATTATAAAATAAATCTCAAATTTCGCATCTTGTGAAATTTGACTGAGATAATTTTATAAAATTCTACATGTTAAACGATCAAATTGATATATTACACCATGTATACTTTAAAGCGTATGTGAAGTTATAAAAGTTTGAAATTATAAGCTTAATTAACTTTAATCAATCCCTTAGGGGCTGTGATCAATTTTTATTTATTATTTTTTATTTTTGAAAACTAAAAGTAAGAAACAAACATAAAAATAGTGTTTGGCTATCTGTTTTTTGTCCAATTTCTGTTTTTTTTATTTTTTGGGATAACTCTTCTATTTTAAAAATTTTAGAAACAGAAAAAACATATTTTTGCCTCTTTTTGAAACACCAAAATAACCCTTCTCCTAGTCTGCCCGCCCCCGCCAACCGCCGACCACCCGCCCGTCTTCGATCGCCTCCCGCCAACCGCCACTGACCCCTATTTGCTTGTTGTCGCTGCCTACCAACCGCTACTTGTCGGCCACCCGTCGCTACCTGTCAGTCAATGCCTGCCTCCTCCTGCAACGCCAGGTGCCCGCCTCTCGCCCCGCCGTTGCCACTGCCAGCCTTCACCCGCCGCTACCGCGGCAGTCAGCCATCGGTCATCCCCGCTCGCCCCCGCCAGTTGTTGCCTGCCTCAATCGCCAACCCCCACTTGCCGCATTCACCACCTGAAGTTCACTGTTGCCCGTCTCCCGTCCGCCGCAGCACGCCCTCCAGCCCGCCTGTCGGCCCGCATGCTCACCCGCTGCCTGCCTGTCCATAGATAATGTTTCGTGCTAGGTGGAGCAAGACATCGTATATGTCATGGGAAGCTTAATACTATAGCACATGTGGACCCAACCATTTAATAAAAAGTGTCATTTAAGCAAAAAATATATCCAACCAAACATGCATTATATTTTTTATTTTTAAAAATATATAAATCATAACAGTACCAAACACGTTTTTTAAGAACAGAAAAAAAAACCGACAAAAAACAAAAACAAAAACAAAAAGTGATCTGAAACAAATCCTTAATTAATTTTCTAATCCCATTTATTGTTCCCACCGACCTTATTAGATGGAATTTAGTAAATTGATGCAATTAAATGGTTGTGAGTCATCGTCAGGAGGGTAAATAATGCATAGAAGGCCTCGAATCACATTCCTCTCTCAATCTCTCTCGGGTTCGTGAGCTTGGAGAGCTCCAGCGACCCTACTATAGTGCAAGCACGACTTAGGAAAGATATAGAGGGCCGAAAAATGCAAATTGGGGTTCTAGGGAGATTTTTGTGAATAGAAAACCCTCTTTCATGATATTTTGAACATTCGTTTTCTTGCCTACGTTTTCATTTTGACGTTTGCCACGAATTGAAGCGTTCATTTCCGATCACTATAGTGGGAGAAAACTAGTGTATCAAGCTACGAATTGGGCTTTGACCTCTCAGCAGGGTTGTTAGCAAGCAAATCAACAAAGAGGAAGACGAAGAAGGAATTAGGAGAGAATTGAAGGGATAACATTGCAGGAAAGCCTGTTTGAGGTAAGAAAACTAGGTTTGGGTTAAATCACAATATAAGTCGAGGATTTCTTGAATAAACTTAGAGGTTTACGAATTCCAAATTGTTTATGATAGGCGGCAAGATTGAGGAGATCTTGGGGAAACTCGTCGTAAAGGCTTGCTCTGTCAATTCATGTGAAATAATCGTGTTAAATTAACAATAATACATTTATTAAATTGTTGATATGACCTATTTGATATATGAATGCATTTAGAATTTTTGTATATTAAAGGAAACATGTACATGATTATCTAAATGTTAGTTGGTCCTGACAATGACCAGGCTTATTATTTTTTTATGATATTAATGTGATGAGCATATTACGTAATATTTGTGTGCAGGTATTATTGTCATATCAATTAGGCATATGATTACGCATTGTCTATGATTGTTTATTACAGAAATATCGCAAGTATTGTGTTAAATAGATTATTACATGAGTGCTTGCAAGTATAGGTGAAAGGAAACAACAGGATTCCCGACTCCTAGTATTCAAATGGGAATGAATTTGGGAACAGTTGAGATCAGACGGAGACGGAAAGTAGGAAACCATTATTATCAGGGAGGTTATTGATAACAGCTATGTTAGTAGGAGCCTGACGATTATCAATAATTAAATTAATCTTCAAGCTAGGTGATGACCAAAAATAATATGAAATGCCATGAAATTAGTTGAGGTTCATATAATTACAAGTGGCATTCATATAATTATGATTGATAACAATAAAATTCTTATGCATGTAATTATGATTACATATGAATTGATGAAATATGCCTTTCATAAAGTTGTCATAATTCCTTACATAACATGTCTTTCTTTTACATGTTTTATAAGATTATAATATATATTGACATGTGTTGTGTGCATAAACATGAGTTATATATGATCATGCACACTATAAAATTTTTTAGTTAGTCGAGGTTATTTTGGTGAGCTAGTATTTCACTCTATGTTGTTGACTTTCAAGAAGGGATAAGAGCACTAGAGCGAGTTGACATGTGTGACGTGTACAACTTTTTCACTATATAATTTTAGAGGATGTACAGTTTTTTGGGTATGTACTTTTATTATTTGGATTTAGTATATATTCTTGTGATATTATTTTTCGCACTTCCAAGTATATAAAACTAAGAATGAATTATGAATTGAAATGTATAATGTATATTATGGCAATTTAGTTAGATTAGTTCATCAATCATGGGGTCTTGATTTTGCGAGTCATGATGGATATTGGTGAGAATTTGATATGACCAAATCATCCGTCCCTACCGCACTGCGGTTGACCATAAACATGTGGTTAATTGGGGGGTGACAAAAAGCGGTATCAATGCAACTTTATTAGATGGAAAAAATGATGAAAGCATGTTAGATTTATAAGAAGTATGAATTAGATAAAATAAGAATTGATTTATGCAAAGTTATAGATTGATTAATCCGAGATGGGTAACCCATATGATATAAGGTATCACGCATACATAATATAGTTATTATATGATAAACTATACTTGAATAATAAATTATGCCAATACAGATGCATATGTTTGAAGAAGAATCAGAAAGTACTGAGAGTTAGCCTCCTAGGCCAATTGCAGAGCAAGAAGTACAAGCTGAAAGTATCTTAAACATAAAGGATAATTAGAACAAGACAAATGAAACTACAGCCACAAAATTATAGGGTATTGCTCAATTGATATCACAAGTAGTTAATAAAATGACTGTCATTGATAAATCATCCGCCTTGGCCCAAAACTGAATATGACATAGAAGTTGATTGACATTTGAAGATCTTTCAGAAATTCAAGTCACATGCATTCATGAGTGTTAGTGACCCTACAGTTCTTGAAGATTGGCTATTGAGAATCGAAATGATTTTGAATGGCATGATCTATCCAGAGAATAGGAGAGTGGTGCTAGCCACTTTAATATTAGATGGCAAAGTACAAATGTGGCGGCACGCATATCATAGAAAGAAATTTCAACTAACACATCCTCCATAGATTAAGTTGAATGAATTTGTTTAAGTTTTCAAAGATTGGTTCATTCCACCTTTAGCTAGATTAGTATTACAAGATAAGCTCTACCATCTGACTCAGGGACTAGATTAGTATTACAAGATAAGCTCTTTCATCTGACTCAGGGATCAAAGATAATTATACAATATGAGGCAGAATTCATTTCTCTTTCCACATATGCATGCCACTAAATCAGTACTCAGAAAGAAAATTAACACAAATTTTTGTGGAGTCTTCGAGATCAAGTGAGATTGGTTTTGGCTCCTTTTAAAATCAGTGACTTCTCAGTGTTAGTTGAAAGACCAAGAAGAATAAAAAAATGTGATGAACTCCAATCTGTGGTGGCAACCCCAAGATAGCAAGTAAGAAGATTTTGGCAAAAGAGAAGAGCCCCAAAGCAAAAAAAGTTAAATTGTAAGATAATAAAAAACAACCTCAATTGAAAAGACCAATCTA